ATCTATAGCACACCTGTACATACAATTTATTCTTTTTTTTGTGGTTTATATTTATGCATGTGTATTTTATTCACATCTCATTTTTATTATCTGTGTGTTGTTGTTGCTGTCTCCGTGTACTGGAAGCTTGTGACACTATAACAAATTCCTTGTATGTGCAAACATACTTGGCAATAAAGCTCTTTCTGATTCTGATTCTGATATTTGTCAACAGTCAACTGTATGAAACACAGGTCTGGGGGCGGGGTCAGTGCATTAACTGCGTTAAAATATTTTAATTGTGTTATATTTCATAACTAATTAACATGTTAAACTGACAGCCCTAATACATACATACAGTATATATATATTTCTTTTTTAAAAAATTTTTGAATGGTTACATCTTAAAAAAAAAAAAAATTGTTTAAAAAAAAAATTGTTTAATGCTTAAAGCATTAATAAACCTACACACTTTTAAAAGTACCTTTTCCAGGTCTGAACAGACCCCAATGTTATGAGGGTTAAGAAATGGACCACAAAAATTGGCAAGTCACCTAATTTATAATGCATCATGAACTAAAGGCTTTTCATAAATAAATACACGTTTCAGCAGAAATATGTCATTAGGAAATACAACTACAGTCCTCAAATAATTCCATGGTCTTTAAAACTCACAAATGACTCTTTAGTAATAATGCTGGTTAAATCAGATGATCTCAGGCAAACCTTTAGTTACGAGACTGATGCAAGAACTGTTTTTATGATATTAAAATGGAAATATCCAAACATGATGTGTTTTCCATTTCCAGATATGAATATTAATTTCATTTGTCAACTGTGAAGTTCTTACCATTCTTTTCATGGATCTGCACCAGCGATTTATACGACTGCTGCGCTCTGGCAAGATTGTACTGATTCTGAGAACAGGACAGACAAACCAAAAGTGTGTCATAACACAGCGCTTACAGAAAAATGTTAATTCTAGTCTCTACTGTGCAATTAAAGTTACATTTAAAATGCAATCAGCTACTTGCTTCCAAAAAACAAAAGCAACTCCACCAGACATCATTAGACAAACACGAGCAGAGCGTTCACCTTATTGGCTCCGAACTGCACTCTTGCTTTTCCTTTGACTAAAGTGGCATTTATCTGCATGATGACAGACTCTATGGAGTAGGCACTGCTCCAGCCCTGAGAGCAAACACACACAACTGAGACGAGAACAAGCCTCTGACACACTCCAGCACATGAGCATCAGCATTAACTAGCAGCTGGATATCAGTATAAATACAGAAACTTGATGCAATTTGAAAACACTGAATATTTAACGTCTTAAACCCTTGCCTAACATTAAAAGTGGACATTAGGGAAAATGCATGTATAAACAATATACTGAGATGACCGGTTCAGTTAGGTTGAGGCTCATTAAATGCATCTTTAGTCCAGGAGGAAGTTAAAGCAAACACACCTGTTTAGTGAGCAGCTCCATACACAGAGCTCCTCCGCCAAGAACATACCTGAAATAACACAACAACTATTAACCGGGTTTCCTTTACATCTTCATGTAATGAGCATTCAACATTTCAGACTTGAATTATACAAACTCCAGTCCAACAATTCTTAATGATACAACCCAATGAGTTTGGCGAGTACACTGGATGTGTAACAGATATATAATGAATGCATAAGCATGCATTAGTGTGAATAAATGTGTTTGCATGCACATGAGAGAAATTATAGTCAAAAGAATATATATTAACTCAACACCCCTAACATAAGGAATAAAGTCTCAAAAGTCTTACCCTCCAGACAGGACAGGAGAAACGACTCGTGCAAACGGAGGATCAAAGGGGAAATTATCCTGCAGACAGACGAGAACAGATTCTTTATTATGGAAAAAAAAAATCTACTTTTACATTGTGCAGAGAAGTACTTGTTTATCCCTTCTTATTCCTTTGTAATGCCGTGCCAGCTTCTATGGTTATGTTCACGGCGAGAGCCAGGTTTAGTTATTTAAAAATAAAACTAAAGATTTTTAGTTTAGTTAGAAAAAAATAATCTTAAACATCTTAAGACAAAATAAGGATTTAGTTGGTTAAAAACCTTTTCAAAAGTGATAAGTATTCGTACGATAATGAAGTTGAATGATTATTGGAGGTAAAAACAACAATTGTCTAAATCACTGCCACAAAACTCAACTTCTTAATTACAATGTGCCATGAACTAAACCTTAAAAAAAATAAACCCAAAATAACTAAATAAAACGGTATTAAGAATAAATAAAACTAACTTGTTGGATGGGGAAAAAAAACATATCTATCTATCTGTCTATCTATCTATCTATAAATAATAAAGTTTTTTGAATTGAATTGAATCTATCTATAAATAATAAAGTTTTTTTGAATTGAATTTATATCTATCTATAGAAAATAAAAATAAAATATTAGATTTAATTGTGAGTATTTTCCCCGGTCTGGTCTCAGCAGATCCAGCGGACTCACTTTGTACGAGAAGCTGAGGAGAATGTAGTCCATCCCTTCCTTTTCTTTCAGCACTTGAAGGTCACTGTGTAAAGGACTGTCCGGATCCACACTGAGCACAAGAACAGCACAAACACCTTCTTTACAACCCTAAACCTTCAGCAATAACGCAGAAACCCAGAGGAACGGTGCTCTTACGTTCTCACTTTGACGTGCCACTCGTACAGGCTGTCGTTGACCAGCTCCACCGAGTAGATGCCTGGAAAAGAGAATAAATCTGAATAAATCCGATCAGAGAGTCGCGCTGGTCATGCTGTCATTCACGGTCACTGCTACCTTACCGTTTTTATAACTCTGAGATCGGTAGATCTCCCTGAGCTCCTTCATGAGGCGATCCGACGCTTGAACAGATCCAGACACGGCGCCCTACAGGACCCGACAGAACACACCCCGTCACAGTCACACCGCAGACAACATACAGATGAACTACAACTCCAGCTCAGGCCAACGACCGAGTCATTTCACCTAACGAGAGGTAAACAAGGCCTCACAGAAAGTCTGGTGAGATACTTTCAGCAGATACTTATAATGTAAGCTTCAAATGTTTTTATTAATAATAAAAAGTTAATCCTGAAATTCTGTCAAATGACCTTGTCATTATTGAAATTGAAATTGTCATTATTGAATTATATCTTCAATCTTTTGATGGGCAAATGTCCTTTAATGCATGCAGGCTTATACGGAGAAAACAAGATTAAAATAACTGAAAACCCAGAATGTTTAACATGCATTTCAATAAAACCTCTCACACTGATTCTGGACTGACTTTGCTACAAACCTTTTCAAAATAGTCTCCTTGTGATGTTCAAGAGAGACATTTCACCTGTGTTTTACATTTCAGATTTATAATTATATGTTCCTTATTCACGTCTGCAACATTGTTTCAAAACTTCAAAATCCTCTGCATAATTGTGTTCCTCATCAAAAATGACTGGCCTTTTAAAAACTGCTCCTAAATCTCTCATTATGCCATATTATCACCAAATATTGGATTGAGTCTTTTTATCAACTTTGATCTGAGCTTATGCACTTCAGTTTTGAGTGAAAAAGCATTATTTGTGGATGAATTTGAAAAATTGAAGGGGGTCTGAATACTTTCCGTACCCACGGTATATATATATATATATATATATATATATATATATATACACACACACATACCCATACACATTTTAGCTTGAAAACAGCAAAATCCACCAGAAGGCAAGTAGTTTGCATGCTTGAACACTTCATGAACAGCTCAATTCATCATCATTCACTGACATCAAACCGAACTTCTGCATAATCATCACATCTCCATCTAATCAGACTGTGAAACAAAAGCCTCTGTCTGAGACTCCGAAACATAAGGAAAGTCCCTTACCGAGTGAGCACTTACATTCAAGTGGTCCTGCCGCTGGTTCTTGCGGATCTTCTCCAGGATGGCCAGGTTCTCCTTCTCGATCCCATCATCCTCAGACTTCTTCCCATCCACCGGCTCCTCCTCTTTCATCTCGTAGTGCTCCAGATCGATGTCCTGCTGACACACAGACGCACACATGTAAAGAGAGATGCTCACGAGCTCACAGAAGACAGGAATAACGTGAGAGAAACAGACATGAACCTCTGCCATCTCCTCTTCCTCCTCCTCCTCTGATGTGACCTCATCTGTCGTCCCAAGCTACAGGAGAAAACATTCCTGTTAAACCACAAGCCGGCCTGATTTACTGATAATATGTCATGCAAAAGAACAATGTTGTATGACATTTTCATAATGCTACTACAAAATATAATAACTTCATCTTCTGAAATAACCTTTCTTTTGTGCCAACATAATATCGAAATCTTTCATCCTGATCCTGCACAACATTAATTCATGCTAAACATTTAGAAATGTGTCACTTTACAGCATGCACTGCAAGTATTGGTTTCATGTTGGCTATAAGGAAAAAATTCCAAAAATTGAACAGAGTTTGGGTGTCACCCAGTGGTTATTTTTGGTATAGCGCCCAAACAAAGGAACCACAATTTTTGTGATATCAACATCAAATTTGGAACATAACTTGGTTAGGCATATGGCTTTGATTTTATAACAATTTTAGAGTTCAACATATTTTATACAATTTGTATTCTATATAAAATTAAAAAGTGTATGCTACATTATCTTTACTGTAAACTTACTTTTATAACGTTTTTATACTGTCTTTTTTTTTTTATGCTTTCACTTCAGCAATAATCTGCCATCTGAACAATGTTGTATGACATTTTCATAACGCTACTACAAAATATAATAACTTTACCTTCTGAAATAACCTTTCTTTTGTGCCAACATGAAGGATGCACATATCGAAATCTTTCATCCTGATCCTGCACGACATGAATTCATGCTAAACATTTAGAAACGTGTCACTTTACAGCATGCACTGCAAGTACTGGTTTCATGTTGGCTATAAGGAACATATTATTTGTGTGCGTTTTAGTGGCTGCAGCAACTACTCAACTAGTTTAGTTGTACCAATGCCCAAACTTTAACCTACCATATATTCTGCAATACAAGTATTTTTTGACATCTGAAATGTTCTGGGAGACTTACATAATGCATTTAACATTAAGCATGCAAAACACACGCAAAGTGCACACATTCGGATGAGTGCCGAATGAGAAAGATTCATAGTTAATTAGTCTAGTGCATTTCACACACTGCTGGTCTCAGTTTTACTTTAAATAAATGCATTTAGGCGTGGCGTTTATAATGATAAAATAACGGTTAATAACGGTTGCTTATAATGAATGTCACTATAATTTATGTTTGTGTCATACGTCGCCCTTTTAGGGGTATAAATCAAGATATAAAAGCATACATACAGACTCTGAGATTGTGTGGCTTGAGTTTTAGAAAATCAAATCTTTTTGTAATCGTGACAAAACTCATATGGTTGGAAAGGTCTGACAGTCAAGGTTCCATATTTGGTGACCGTTTTGTAATAGAACTGATATTGTGACAGAAAATGATTGATTTGTGACAGAAAACAGCATCAGAATAATTCAACAGAGTTTGGGTGTCACCCAGTGGTTATTTTTGGTATAGCGCCCAAACAAAGGAACCACAATTTTTGTGATGTCAACTTCAAATTTGGAACATAACTTGGTTAGGCATATGGCTTTGATTTTATAGCAATTTTAGAGTGCAACATTTTATACAATTTTTATTTTATATAAAATAAAATTGTATGCTACATTATCTTTACTGTAAACTTAAATAACTTTTTTATACTGTCATTTTTAAAATGCTTTCACTTCAGCAATAATCTGCCATGTGTCTTATTTAAAAAGAGACCAACCTTAGGTCTTACAACCGTGTTGTAACAAGCATTGATAAACAAGTGTTCTGTTTTCAGTGAATTTATACCCCAAAATGAACCAAATATAAGAGTCAACTTTTGGAAAAAAATCATGCAATTGTATTATTTGAGTCCCAATAAGATGGAAAATTACAGTAAATACATTTTCTGATGTCTATTTATGGCTTTGCCCTTTTCAGGGTTAACTCAAGCGTGACTCGAGCTCAGTGGTTTACCTTTCTGTCCTGGTTAACAGGTCCTGCAGGCAGAGGCTGGTCCAGCATCTCCACATCGGGGTGCTGGGGGAGATTATAGAGGCGGCACAGGTCACAGATCAGCCTCTTCAGCTGCTGCAAGAGCTGAAACCACAAACACACACACTAGAGCATTACACTAAAACTACACCGAACGTGACAGAAAGCTGAACACGTGGGTCAAATACTGACCCTTAGTGGAAAAGTTCATTTCTGATCTGACTAACTTGCTATAATCAGTGTTAACAGTAACAGTTAATAACATACACATCAAGATTTGGTTGCAGTACTCGATGGGTAATTTGTGCACATGATCCTCTTTAAGTCATCAAAAGTCTTGGTCAGAACAATTACACCTGCACGTGATGAATATCTGAGAGAAAATGAATAAGACTTTAAGAGAAGGAAGAGAGCAGCCAGATCAGTGGCTTTGACGGGTTCCCTGACATCTCAACTTAAAAATACACATACACTACTGTGCAAAAGTTTGGGGTCAGTAAGATTTTCTTTATACTTTTAAACCTGGACTGTGTATTTATCGGACATCATCTCGATGGAACTCTCAACTTCTCGTATACATGGATCTAATTTGAAAACTGTTAATTTATGGCATTCAGCTTTTAATGTTGTGTCAGCTTTTCTAAAATATTTGTAAAAAAATCATAATTTTATTGCACTGGAGTAATGATGCTGAAAATACAGCTGCGCATCACAGAAATATATTACAGTTGCACACATAATTTGAAATTGTAATAATACTTCACAATATTACTGTATTTGTGATCAGCAAAATACAGAAGGCATCATTCAAAAACATTTTTAAAAATCATTAAAAAAATCATACCAAAAAAAACAAAAAACACGTATAGACCCCAACATTTTAAAAGGTAGTATTTCCTAAAAAAACCTCCTAATGGACCCTTTTGTGTGAATGAACAATTAACACAATTTGTATTAAAAACATCTGCATTAACTTTCTGCTAGACATCCTCTTTTGTGTTTCACAGAAGGTTTGACATTAGAGCAAGTAAATGACAGATTGATGTTCTCTTTATAAACTAATCCTTCAATCCACAGCGTCCTGTTTTAATCAGGCATGCAGCGGTCTAAAAGTGTGCTGCGTGTCCCAGTTACTCTATTATAGACAACAGAGCACACAGAAGCAAAGCTTTAGTTAAAAAAAAGCCCAGCTGGAAGATTTTTCATTATTCACGATTTTTTTTAACAAAATTAGATTTAAGACCAATTATAAATTAAATGTGTCCTTTTATTATTGCTTGGACAAAATACTGTACGTTTCTTTGTGAAATTGAAATATAACACTATAATAATATACTAATATAGCACTTGTAAATTATTGCTCTTTTGTTGGTTTTGATTGCTTCTATTGTCCTCATTTGTTAGTTGCTGTGGATAAAAGCCTCTGCTAAATAACAACATTTAAATATAATGTAAATGTAAATAACAAAACTGCAACACGAGCAGTTTTTAATCTAAATTAGATTGTATAATTTTGACATCTGAAGCAAAAACAGAATGTTTTGTGAAACTATGCATAAAAATAATTCTGAAAACATATCTGCATGAAACAGAACCAGCAGATGAGCTGAACGAGACACAGATTCACTCTCTGCCAGCAGGTGGCGCTTAAAGTGTTTCCTTGGTTTCCGCTATAAACAAAGCAGCTCTGCACTTATGAACTTTAATATGCATTATACAGAGGCAAGATGAAAAGAAAAAATACCATCGAAAGACAGTAAGTTCGCCTCAGACATACATTCATATAAACTCTTACCCCTAATTGAATCGTGATTTGTTTAGCATCTCAATCGATTTGAATCGTCACATATTTGAATCAATTTTCAACCGGCTCGCGGTTAATTGTTACATCCCTAGTAATAATCAAACAGCAATAATGCTGAGAAAAAAAAAGAAAAACCCATAACTATGTTACCAGTGTGCTGCTCCTCCTGACCTCCTCCAGCCGCTCCAGCACTCCAGTCAGGCTCGGGTCATCGGACTCCACGAACCATATCGGCGGCGTGGACGGGTAGGACTCCTGAAACACCAGCGGCAGGGAATGAGCAAGATCTCAGCCAGATGACACCTCATTACCCACAATGCAAAGCGATACTGTAAAACTGCGACGTGCACGACCAGACATGACCAACTTCCTCAAGACACGCTTAAAGGGATAGTTCACCCAAAAATGGAAATTCTGTCATTGATTACTCATCCTCGTGTCGCTCCAAACCTGTAAGACCTCCGTTCAGCTTCGGAACCCAGATTAAGATATTTTTTAAAGGGCTTTTCCCCCATACTTTTATCCTTCATGAAGGTTACTTTAGAAATAAATAAATAACAGTCATAGTAAATTTAGTTTGTAATTATACATGCTTCTGTGACAGCTTTGCAGTTTAATTGATGCTTTGTTATGCGATGTTATGTTTAATGCAATGTGGTTTTCCATGGCTGACCTAGGCTATTCGTGTTCAACCATTAACCTTAAATCATTAAAAACTCACATAATAAACAAATCAATAAGTTTACATTCGTATGCATTTTTGCATCTTTAAAAAAAACACTAGCTTCTCTAATCGTTTTGTGTTCTCTCTCTATTTGTGTTCTTTTTATTTATTATACAGTCAACAAAAGCACAAAAGGCCTCTGATACTAGCTTGCTCTATTCTATACATTTTCTTTTTATTTATTATATAATAAAAAACACCTTGCTACGTGTGCTGCGTTAAGCTAACTGAGACTTGTTATAGCACTTGCATATCATTGCTCTCTTGTTGGTTTTGATTGCTTCTATTGTCCTCATTTGGATAAAAGTGTCTGCTAAAAGACTAAATGTAATTTATGTATTTTTAATATCAATGCTGTTTAAGACTATAGCGCCATCCCCTGACCATTATAATGTGACAAATTCATAACTCATTTCGCTTAATTACAGTATTTTGGACAGTCGAAGAACCGAACACCCCTAATTAATGACAGAATCTTCATTTTTGGGTGAACTATGCCTTTAATGCTTAGTTGTATTGCTTAAGGACACAGCATAACTCTCCCATTTCTTTCACAGTTTTCTATTACTGTAAATTGCACAACAGTAATGATAAAGGAACAGGTGTGTCCAAATGTTTGACCGGTAGTGACATAATTACAACATTCCCATCTTTAACCAAAAAACACCTGCAATGAAAGAACTTCCACAAATCATGCATGCATTCCAAATGTCTTCATAATGCATGCTCACATTGACATATTCAGATCTATACAAACTGATCTGACATATTTAGACGTAAAATAAATCTCGACAGAAGCTCCAGCCTGATTCTGGTCTTTAAGGCATTCAGTGCTTAAGAATGTGTTAAGAAAGGGTTGTTATTTTCATGCAGATCAGATAGAGTGCTTAAAACGGTCTAATGTTTAGTAGTCCATTAGTTAGTCATATACATTCAAATAGAAATAAATATGAATTTAAGTTTCAAGACATGGTTTAACTGGAATGTACATTCACTGATCTTGTTTATAGCTGGCACTTGTTTGTCCCAATAGTACCAGTGGTTTTACACTTACACCTGGTCAATTATAATGTAAATATAATTAATAAAAGATAAAAACAACTTGCATCATAAAAGAAATAGTTCACACAAAAGTGAAGATTTGCTGACAATGTAGGCCCACTCACCCTCAAAACAGATTTGGAGAAATGTAACATTCATTCAATTGGTCACCAATGGATGCTCTGCAGTGAATGGGTGCCGTCAGAAAGCATTATTACGTAGTTCAGACAAAAGCAACGGTTAGAAGTTAAAAACGTCTTAATGCTTCAGCTTTTGTCTTCTCCAGATGTTAACTGATGGACTGGAGTGCTGTGGATTACTTGTGGATTATTGTGATGTTT